TGATGTTGGGGGGATAGGAAAGAGGAATGACAGTAGCAAAGGCCAGTGGGGAGGGGTGTCTCAAAACAATGACTGATCACGTGGGCTCTCTGGTGGGCAGAAACCCGTTGTACAGATAGGGAAGCTCGGTCCCGGGAGGACCGACACTGGGGTGGGGGTGGCCCTGAGGCACGGGCCTTACTCTTGAAGAGGCAAAGCTCTGCCCCACTCACGGGCTCTGCGTCTCCATTTCTTCACCTCCAGCCCAGACCTCGAGTGGTCAGGGCACCTCTGGGCTCAGCTTCCCCACCTGTGAAATGGGACACCTGATGGTGCCTCCTCAGGATTGTCAAGAGTGGGCCACAGGTTTGGCCATGTCTCCAACGGTCTCTTCCATCTTTCTTTATGTATCTCTTGATCTCTGCCTCTGTCTCTGCCTCTCCCTGAGGCCTCACACATCACTCCTGAAGTCCACTGTGCCCCCCGGGTCTGGACTGGGCCCCACTGCACTGCCGTGACACTGTGTGGGGTCACGGGGTCCTTGTCCCCACTGTGCCAGGCCTGGGACACTGCCTCTTTGTTCCCGTGGCTCTGATCTCATGGTCTGCTGGGCGCCTGACCCTGGCTGGCCCGGCCACCCCTCGGGACTGGGATCCTCAGAAGAGGGGCCTTGTTTCTACCCATCTGGGCCTCAGTTTCCCCAGATGCTGTCCCCCAGCAGAAACCCTCCCGCTGCTCCTCAGTCCTGCTTGGCTTCATGAACATGTTTTTTTTTTTTAGCTGAAAATTACATAACATAAAACAAACTGTTTTAAAATGTATAATTCAGTGGCATTTAGCACATTCACTGTGTTGTACAATATGCCCCTCTATCTGGTTCCAGAACATTCCATCGCCCAAGAAGGAGACCCCGTCTGCAGGAGCGGTCACTCCCCACCTCCCCACCCCCAGCCGTGACAACTGCTGATCTGCCCCCTCTCTGTGGGCGTCCCGGTCCTGGATGTTGGTCTGCAGGATGATGGAGTCCTGCACCACGTGGCCTCCTGTGTCTGGCTCCTGTCACTCAGAGTCACATTGTTGAGATTCACCCGTATTGTAACATGAATCTCCATGGACGTTTTGGGCTTTTTGCTGATCCTTTTTGGTGTGGCTCAGTGGGTTGAGTACCAGCTTGCAAGCCGAAGGTCACTGGTTTGATTCCTGGTCAGGGCACGTGCCTGGGTTGTGGGCCAGGTCCCCGGTTGGGGCATGAGACAACTGATTGATGTTTCTTTCTCACATTGATGTTCCTCTCCCTCCTTCCCCTCTCTCTAGAAATAAATAAAATCTTAAAAGAAAAAAAGAAACAGACACAGAGGAAAGATCAATTTGAGTCTAAAGGAAGCAAGGAGACTTTTCAGGAGCTGAGATGCAGGCTGCCCTGAGGCTAGAGTTTGGGGAGTGGGGAGGTGGGCATTTTCTGGGGGGAGGGCTCAGCGTACAACAGCAGCCTCCTAACAACTTGTTGGGAGAGTGACCTTAGACATCCAAGAACACCGAGCTCCCAGAGGCTGGCCAAAGAGGGCTGGAGACCTGACTGAGGACACAGAGCCCCAGGCCACCCAGGGGACTGGCACTTGGTGTCCAGCTTGGGTCTGGGGCCAGCAGCACAGAACCTCAGACCTGAAGCCCTGGGTCTGACTTGCCTGAAAGTGGGTTGTGGCTGGTATGAGGCTGCACCCACCACCAAGCTGACTTCCTGGGTTTCTCTTTCGCTTTGGCTTTCCTGGGAGGGATCATGATACCGGACTTTTTTTTTTTTAAGTTTTCTTTCTTGCTCAGCTTCAAAGTGTTCTGGGGCAAGGACAGGGCGGTTGGGGCCTCACCAGCGGCTCACAAGCTCTTCTGAGGCCTCAGGCCTCTGACTGGACCCTATGGGGCCACCGGGGGCCAAGCTGGTCCTCCTGCTCCTCCTCCTGCTCCCCACACAGGGTGGTGAGTGTCCTACCCTGGTGCCACTGCTCTTCTTGCTGGGGCGGGGGGTAGGGGGTGCATGTGTGTGGAGGGCTGCGGACGGGTTCCAGGGCTAGGTCTGTGTCTCTGTGCCTTTCTGTCTTTCTGTCTCTGTCACGTGGCGGATGGGTGACCATGGCTTCTGGGGTCAGACTTAGGCATCTCCCTCTGCTCTTGGTTTTGTCTTATGTCGAATGGGCTGGATCTTTCAATCTTTCCCACCTCCCAGAGTTCAATGAGAAATAGCTAAGGAAGGGGTAATGAGCGGGTATGTGTACGATGGATATACCCAACATAGCGTCATGTCTCATATATACTTTCTTTCCATCCTGTGGAATCGGGTGGGAAGGGGCCCAGCCTCCTGTGGATGACTGGGTTTAGACTCTTGTCCCAGCTCTGCTGTTGCTGCTATGTGAACGTGGGCAACTTTTGCCTCTCTGTGCCTCAGTTTCCCTGTCTGTAAACTGGGGGTTGGCAAGGTTTCAGGGCCTCTGGGTGTCAGGCAGGGCTGGAGTCCAGAGGACCCTGGATTTCTCTGGAGGAACAGCCTGAGAAGTTGATGGGTGGATGGGTTGGAGGGTAGGGAGTCGAATGGATGGATGGATGGATGGATGGATGGGAGGATGAGTGGGAGGGAGGATGGGTACATAGATGGAAAAGTGAGTGAGGGGGTGGATGGCCACTAGGCCGGCCCCCAGGCTGAGTCCCTCTCCCCATGCAGTGCCAGGTCAGGACTGTCATCATCTCTTTGTTGCCTTCACAGCTGAATCCTGTGGTACCACCAGGTGCTGTTTTCAGGACCCGCCCTATCCGAACGCAGACTCAGGTTGGGCAGTTTCCCATTGGGGTCCTGCCGGGCTCTGTCCACGGAATCCCTAGCAGCCCCTTCCTCAGCTCCCTCCTGCCCAGCCAAAGACTCTGGCCCACCTGGGGTCTCGGGAGCTCCTACCTGACAGTCTGCCGCATGAGCTCCCCAAGCTCGGGTGTCTTGAAGCAGTTACACTCTCTGAGCCTCGCCTCCTCCCTAACGGGGTTGCAGGGCTGGTGTCTGCACCTTTTTAGACTGGTCAGCATGTGGGGCTAAGCAACTGCTAAATATTTTGAATTTTTAATCCCTCCACCCTGGCAGACATTGCCAGGACACTTAGGCTTATAATGCACCTTACTTAGATCCTGCCACTGATCAGGTGCATCATCCATTCTTTTGCTTAATAAATATTTATTGAGCACTTACTATGTGCACACGCAGTCCTAGTCATGAGGGAATCAGCTGCAAGCCCAGCTGTCCTCCTGGGGTCACAGCCTGGTGCAGGAGGTAGACAACAGATCAATAAATGCTTATATTGCTTACAATGATGTGCGCAGAGCAGGCTGAGGGATGGAGAGGGAGGGGCTGCTTTTGGTTGGCTGGTTGTGGAGGAGGTGACAGGGAAGGAAAATCTGGAATGTCAAGATCTGAGGAAGAGGGCACAGCACGTGCAAAGGCCCTGAGGTGGGAGTGAGCCTGCTGTGTTTGTGGGTCCACGAGGAGGCTGGAGCAGGGAGAGCAGGGGTGGTGGCGGGGGACAGGTGGAAGGGCACTGGAGGGTGCCAGGAGCCGTTCAGACTGTGGAGATGCCAGATTACATAGCGTCACAAAGATTTGCCCTGAGGGTGTCAGCACAGCGACCCCTCTCTATTCTGGTCTGCTCTCAAACCTCCAGGATCTCCTCCAGCCTCAGCCTCGGGCCCCAGGGACCTGAACTGCTACCGGATATTTGGGGCTGGTTACGAATGCTCCTGGGAGTATGAGGGTCCCATGGCTGGGGTCAGCCACTTCCTGAGGTGCTGGTGAGGACCGCTCCCCAGACCCCAAACCCTCACCCACCATCCTGCCCTTGGCCCTGACCCGGTGCCCCTGCCTTTCGCTGTGTGATTGCAGCCCAGGGCTGGTCCCTGTCTCTCCCTGGGCATCAGTTTCCCCTGTGAGCAGGGAGGGTGGGGGCTCTGTCTTGAGGGGGCAGGTGGGTGGGCACCCTGGCCAGGCAGCAATCAGGGTCCCGCTAGTCTTTCTTTCATCCTCACTGGGCCCTCGATCCCAGGCTGACCCCCGAGGGAGCCCCAGGCTGGGGAGGGGAGTCGGGGGGTGGGGCAGAGGAAGATGAAGGGAGGTGCTGCACACTGTCTGCTGTGGCTGAGTCACTTCTGGAGTCCACTCGGACCCCGGAGTCAGCACCAACGCCCTCTTTCCTGCAGCCTCAGTCCCGGGCGCTGCTGCTACTTCTCCGCGGGCTCGGCCACCAAGCTGCAGTTCTCTGACCAGGATGGCATACCTGTGCTCTCCGACGTCACTCTCTGGGTGGAATCCCGGGCCACCAACAGGACGGAGAAGTCGCCCAAGCTTACCCTGAAGCTACACTATAGCTCTGGTCAGCACCCTGTTCTCCTCCTCCTCCTTCTCACTGCCCTTCCCTCACCCATAGATGCGTCTGGTCACCAGGCCTAGACCTGGGGAGATTCTGGGCCCCTGGCAAGGGGCTTGAAAATTCCAGCCATTCACGCGGCAAACACTGCGTGTGACTCGGCAGAGACAGGCACGGCTCCCTTCCCCATGCCCACTGCTGGACGTTCAGGTTGTCCCTGGTTTCTCCCTGACGTTATAATGGTGCCAGGCCCCGCCGCTTTTTCCAGCTGTTTTTATGAGTCAACAACATGCATTTAGCTTATAGTTTTCAAGCTGCTACTGTGTGCCACACTGAGCCATAGGGACCCTGGGCAAGGCCAGCAGAAGTTGGAGGTCGCATCCCAGTGCTTGGGACTAGGACGAGGTGAGCCAGGCAGCATTTAAATTTTAAGGAGCCGCCAAAAAACCCCTCAGTTAGTTAATAGAAACAACATTGTAACACAGTATTTTTAAAAATAAAAAATATCCCTGGCTGGTGTGGCTCGGTGGATTGAGCGCTGGCCTGTGAACTGAAAGGTCTCTGGTTTGATTCCCAGTCAGGGCACATACCTGGGGTGCAGGCCAGGTCCCCAGGTGTGTGAGAGGCAACCAACCAGTTGATGTTTCTCTCCCTCTTTTTCTCCCTGCCTTCCCCTTCTCTCTAAAAATAAATAAATAAAATCCTTTTTTAAAAATTACATGTAAAAAATCCATGACAAATAAAATATCAAAATTTTAAGTACAGACAGGATCCCACCCCCTATTTGTACAACCGCACCTCACTCACCTCGCCCCAGCTCTGGCCCCGCCTCTGCCTTCGCGGAGCCCGGGTTCAAGTGGGGGCGCCGGGCCAGGTGGGGCCACTGCACGTGAGGAGATGCTGCTGAGAGGTCGAGGGAGGCCTCCAGCTCAGCTGCGTTCTGGAGGGTAAAATGAATCCAGGGGGAAGAAAGGCGGGATGCGTGTCCCAGGTGGAGGCGTGCGTGCCGCCGCGGGTTCAAAGGCCCTGAGGTAGAACTGGGTATGACAAGATGATAGAGGTCAGGCTCCTTGAAGCAGGTCTCAGAAATTAGTTTTCCTAGTAGTCCTCCAGAAAAATAGAACCTATCAGTTGTCCTCTGGTCGGCAATTGGCACAAGTGGCTGTCTCTTCACACCCTTGTCAGCAACAGGTGTTAATATTCTAGCGGTTTCTTCACTAACAGGACCCTGTGTATACATTCTGACTCTTTGACCTGTGGAACCCCAGACTTGGGTGGGACCTGTGAGGGCATCCCTGATTCACATTTGGGGGAGTTGGTGAGCTACCCTGGGCTGGGTAAGGCATGGGCAGATTTTCTGGAATTTTTGGAACCAACCACTCACACCAATGCCGCTTCCCCTCTCCAACCACCTCCTCTGCTTCCAGTTCAGTACGACCCTCCACCAGGAGACATCCAAGTGTCGGGGGGAGCAGGGCAGCTGTACATGAAGTGGGAGACTCCAGCCGGCCAGGAAGGTGCCGAGGTCCAGTTCCGGCGCCGGACACCTGGCAGCCCGTGGAAGTTGGTGAGTTTGTTCCTCAGGTTTGGGGTGGGCACAGGCCTCTCCCAGGGCACTTTCTCCCCTAAATCAGTGTCATCACCCTTACATCTGCTACCCATCCCACCTGGCCTCACTCTTGCCCCCGTCGAGCCTCTGAGGTCTCTCTGACATGCAGCTCTGACTGTGACCTCCCTATTCACACACCCTCCGTGGCTCCCTGTTGCCCCCAGAAGGGCACCCTTGTCCTCAGCCAGACCTCACTTGCCTCGTGCTTCCTCTGGTGCCCTCCTGAACAGCCACGATTCTCCGCCCATGCCCTGGATCTCCGGACTCCTTGCCTTTGTGCATGAAGTCCCCTCCACCTGCTTGCCCCCTCTCCATGTGAGCACATGTGAGTCCAGCCCACCCTCAGAATCCAGCTCAAGGGCCACCTCTTCCAGGAAGCTGTTCTTCCACCCATTCCTTCCTTCCTCTCTCCTTCCTTTTTTTAAAAAATTAACATACAGCCCTGGCTAGTGTGTTTCAGTGGATTGATTGCCAGACTGAGAAGCAAAGAGTCGCTGGTTTGATTCCCGGTCAGGGCACATGCCAGGGTTGTGGGCCAGGTCCCTAGTAGAGGGCGTTCAAGAGGCAACACACATTGATGTTTCTCTCCCTGTCTTTCTCTCTCCCTTTCCCTCTCTCTAAAAATAAATAAATAAAATCATTTAAAAATTAATATAAATTGACATACAGCCTTATATTAGTTTCAGGAGTATAACATAATAATTCAATATTTGTGCATATTGCAGAATGATCACCACAATAAGTCTAGTTACTTTGTGACACCACACATAATTACAGATGTTCTTTTTCTCGTGGTGAGACCTTTTAAGGTTTACTCTCCTAGCAACTTCCAAGTATGCAGTGCAGTATTATTATCCATAGTCGCCATGCTGTGCACTGCATCCCCATAACTTATTTTATAACTGGAAGTTTGTAGCTTTTGACCACCTTTAACCATTTTGCCCCTCATCCCCAACTCCCTGCCTCTGGCAACCACTGATCTGTTCTCAGCATCCATGAATTCAGTTTTCTGGTTTTGTTTTAGATTCCACATAGAAGTGAGATCATACGGTATTTGTCTTTCTCTAACTTACCTCACTTCTTAGTACAGAGCTCTCAAGTTTCAACCCTGTTGTTACAAGTGGCAAGATTTCCTTCTCTCTCTCTCTTTTTTTTTGTGGCTGAATAAAATCCCATTTTTCACACATATACCACATTTTTTCTTACCATTCATCCATTCAGTGGTTTCCATGTCTTGGTTACTGCGAATAACGCTGCAATGAACATAGAGGTACATATGTACTTTTGAGTTAGTGTTTTTGTTTTCTTCAGATAAATAGCCAGAAGTGGAATTGCTGGATCATATGATAGTTCTATTTTTAATTTAAAGCTTTTTTTCTATTTATTGATTTTTAGAAAGAGAGAGGAAGTGGTGAGGTGGGGGTGGGGGGAGCCAGAGAAACGTTGACTTGCTGTTCACTTGCTTACGCATTCACTGGCGGATCCTTGTAGGTGCCCTGACTGGCAACCTGGGTGTGTGGAGACAATGCTCCAACCACCTGAGATACCTATCCAGGGCTATTTTTAATTCTTTGATGAACTTCCACGTTGCTTTCCATAGCGGCTGCTCTAGTTCACAACCCCACCAGAGGCACACAACCATCCCTGATGCCCACACCCTCACCAGCGGTTGTTACCTCTTGTCTCTTTGGTGACACTCATTTTAACAGGTGTGAGGTGGTGTCCAGTGTGGTTTTGATCTGTATGTCCCTTGTGATTGGTGGTATTGGGCACACTTGCATGTAGCTGTTGGCCGTCTGTACGTCTTCTTTGGACCTTCACTCACTCTTTGGCTCCTGCCTATCCCCTGCTCTGCACTCCCGCTGCTCCAGCCAGACCAGCCTGCGCCTGCCAGAAGCCTCAGCCCAGACCCAGCTGCCAAGGAGCCTCCGGCTTGAGGGAGACAGGGGCCCCTAGCCTGAGCGTTGCGGCCGGTCTCCTTCTCCCTCATGCCGGGCACACTGGAGGGCAGGGAGTTGCCTCAGCTTCAGCCCCATCTTCCCCCAAAATGTGCGCCCCGCCCTGAGCCTCAGTCTCCCCACTGGGTGGCCAGGTTTGGATCAGTCAGCAGCAGGTGACATGGGACCCTGATGGGCAGGGACCTCTCTGTGTTTTGTGTCCAGCCCTCTAAGCACATTCTGCAGCAGACCCCCTCAGGTCGCTTTGTAGATGAGGAAGCCGAGGCGCAAGGTGTCAGGGACCTCTTAGGGTGACACGGGGAGGGGGCAGGGCTCTCCTGATGCCCAGCACTGCAGGCTGACCGGCTTTGCCTCCTAAAATAATCTTTCAGGAAATTATAAATTGTGTCTCCTAAAATCATTCTTTTTTTTTAAAGATTTTATTTATTTATTTTTAGAGAGGGAAGGGAGGGAGAGAGAGAGAGAGAGAGAGAGAGACATCAATGTGCGGTTGCTGGGGGTTCTGGCCTGCAACCCAGGAATGTACCCTGGCTGGGAATCGAACCTGGGACACTTTGGTTCCCAGCCCGCGCTCAATCCACTGAGCTATGCCAGCCAGGGCTATTCTTTTAAAAATGTTTAATCTCAGAATAATCTTAGGTTTTCAGAAAATTTACGAAGAAATACAAAGAGCTCCCACAGAGCTTTGCCCGGCTCCCCTCTTGCTAACGCCTTTGCCCCCAACGGGGACGCATGGAGCACCTCGCCCCGGACTGCCCTCCAGAGGGGGTTGGGTGTTACCCATCTTCTAAGGATGTCTTCCTTTTGCTCTTAGGTCTAGTCCAGGGTTCCACATCACACTCAGAAAATAATGTGTTTAAATATAATGCTAATAAAAAAGAATAATATTTTTACTTATAACATTAGAGCTAATATTTTTCAATGCCAAAATGTCAGACAACAGATAAATGTGGTTTCATTCCAGGGTGACTGTGGACATCGGGGAGATGCTGGCTTCGGTGAGAACAGCAACAGCAACAGCTGCAACAAATTAGCGTGAATCAAGTCCCTACTGTGTGCCAGGCCAGGGCTAAGTTCTTTGTGCGCCTGTTGGCTTGCCCTGTGGTTCTGTATTGGACTATTTCCATTTGAGAAATGAGGAAACAAAGACTGGCGGGTGGCAGGGTGAGAACCCAGCAGCCAAAGTCACATTTCAAGGGGTGACCCTGTTGGGACTTGAACCAGGGACAGTGAAAGAAGTAGATCATCCTGGAAGCCCAAAGAGGACAGGCCCTGGCCTGTTCCTGCCATGTCCTTGGGGCCTGACACACAGTTGGCTCTCAGTAACAATACCATAGTATAATTGTGTAGTTGCATGTATACAATTGGCACCCAATATGTGCATGTACACCATTGGCATTCCGTAAATGCACAATGGATAAGTGACCAGCGCCATGCCCCCAGCACCTCCGGGTGTGGGACAGCCCCTTGGCCTGACATTTGCCCTGTTTTCCCCCAGAGTCATGCTTCTGCCCACTGGAGGTAAACGAAACCCAGGAATTCCAGCTAAGGCGGCGGCGGCAGCTTGGGCCAGGGGCCCCGGGAGGTCCCTGGAGCAGCTGGAGCAGTCCCGTGTGTGTCCCTTCTGGTGAGAGTGCCCAGAGCCACAGGAATAAGGGCAGGCACTAGAAATATGGCAGTGGGTATTAGAACTAAGGTGGCAAGTGTTAGCAACAAGGTGACAGGTTTTCGAAATAAGGCAGCAGGAGAAATTGGTGAAAATTATTAACAGTGGAACTTTAGAGATTGTGGTGAATCCATAATCTAAAAAGAAAACATCTGTCCGTCTTCCTCTCTTTCCAATTCGTTTGGTCGGTTTTGTTCTTTTAAAGTAGCACAAGGAGCTGACAGGTGGAGGTGACTGTGTCAGGAAGATATTTTCCCAAATCACACAGGAAGCTGGAGCCTGGGCAGCTCAGGAGTGGACATGTGGCCCCGGGGCAGGGGTGGGGGGGCAGCAATAAGGTGACTGTCAACATTTGTCACCAGCGCCGCCAGCTGAGATCCCCTCCTGTCCAGTGGCACATCTCCTGGGAAATAACTCTGAGTTGTTTTCAGATTTGTCCTCAAATTGGAAAAGAACACGTAACATAAAATGTACCATTTTACACATTTTTAAGTGCCTAGTTCTATTGTATTAAGTACATTTGCGTTGTGGAATATATCTCTATGTTTTCAGATTTGGAAAGGTATTTAAGAACCCATGGGATCCTGTGTTTCATGGGAGGGGAGGAAAAGGTCCCAGGACCCCGTCCAAGGTCTGCAGGGGGCTGTGAGAAAGGGCAACACCCCCTTCAGTGCCACTGTCTTGTTGTCTCATGGCAGAAACCCCCCCACAGCCCAAGGTGTCGTTCTTGGTGGAGCCGCTTGGCCGGGATGGGCGGAGGCGCGTGACCCGGAAGGGGCAGGTAAGGAGGTCTGGCACAGGGCTGCGTGTGCAGTGGCCCGGGGACAAAAAGGCAAAAGACTGGGGATAAGGGGCAGTGTGCAAGTGGAAGATGGAGGGAGACAAGACACGGAGGTGGTAGGAACTGGGAGGACCATGGGTTTATCTCTGAAGATACTGGGGAGCCATGGAAGGTATGTAAGCAGAGGAGAAACTTGGCTGGACTCAGGTGCTCTCTGGCTCCCTCTGGTGGCCACCAGGGGAATATATTGCGGGGGTCTCTGGTGGACGCTGGAAGGCCTAGGAAGGGTCAATAGTGTTGGTCTGGATGGAAGATGATTTAAGTCCCTGAATCAACCCATTTAGTACAGTCTAATTAGCCCCATTTTACAGAGAAGGAAACTGAAGCACAGAGTGAAAATCTTTTGCTTGGGTCAGGGGCAAAAACCATGACAAATTTCACCATTACTGGCTCAACGCAGTCCCCAGAGGGCCATCAAAATAAGCCTACAGAGAAGTTCCTTTGTTTCCAGGGTTTCCTCTCATTTTGATTCCTTTTCTTAGGAAAAAATTCCAGAGTTGAGGTCACTGGGTCCAAAAATGGAAACTTTTACCCTGGCTCTCAGCGGGCTTTGCCTAATTACTCTCCCCACCAAAAAACAAAACAAAACAAAACCCCAACACACACTAGATGTGAATGTCAGTCTCCCAGCAGCCTTGCTAGCATCAGGGTTTATTGCTTTTCAAATGTCTGGCACATGTCGCAGGCTGCGGGCTGCGGATGAGCCTGTGTTCATGGGCTGTGCCCTGACGTCAGCCCACGAGGACAGTGACCGTGTCCAGGTCCCAACAAGCCGTCTCTCCCGCCCATGACAGCTGCCTCAGCTCCAGCTCCCAGAAGGCTGTCGTGGGCCTCAGTCTGGCGCAAGAGTGACCTACCGCCTGCACCTGCACATGCTGTCCTGTCCCTGTAAGGCCCAGGCCACCAAGACCCTGAGCCTGAGGACAACATTCAACCTCTCGGGTGCTGCCTACGATCTGGCTGTCATCTCTGAGAATCGCTTCGGCCCCGGCCCCAACCAGTCGTGGCACATTCCTGCGCACGCACACACAGGTGGCTCCCGGGGCGGGGCGGGGGGGTGGTGGGGGCTGCCAAGGTGGGGCCCTGGGACCTGGGCACCCCTCAGCTAGACTAGGGTGAGGTTGGTGAGGCTCAAATTTCTAAGGGGGTGTCTAATTTAGGGCTGTGCCAAAACAATCATCAAGATACATAACATTATAATGCAATATTTTTAAAAATTCTCACCAGCTAACTACAGGTCGGGCCAACTGTCTCTTTTGTAAATAAAGTTTTTGGGGACAAGGGCTGGAGGATCAGGGTGTGGTGAGTGAGTCAAGGTCATGCAAGTACAGGGTTGATGCTCTGTTCATTTAAAGATTTTATTGTTATTTCTTTTTAGAGAGAGGGGAAGCGAAAGAGAAAGACAGGGGCAGAAACATCAATGTGTGGTTGCCTCTCACGCACTCCCTACTGGGCTGCAACCCAGGCACATGCTCTGACTGGGAATTGAACCGGCAACCCTTTGGTTCAAAGGCCAGTATTCATTCCAGAGTCACACCAGGCAGGGCTCTACTTTCATTTAAAATCTTGATAGTCTCTTCAATTTTTTATATATATGTGTGTATAAAATTACATATATTTTATATAAATTATTATATAGTATTTAAAATAAATTATATATTTATTATATATAATATATGTTTATACACGAATATGGTTTGGGCCATGCCTCCCTGTGTAACCTTGGGCTGGTGACTCCCTCTCTGGGCCTCAGCTGCTAGATCACTGGGGTGATCGTGGTTTCACTGTGTAGCAGAGTG